GTACAAATAATAATCCTGTCACAAAAAAAATTATGCGATGAAACAAGAGCGTAGTAATTTAGCAGCATTTTGAAATTCCGTTGGTAGTAACACTATTTTTCTTTGCATATTCAACGCAGTGGAAGGTGCAATTTTCAGAATTACACACTTCTGCGAGATCTACGAAATGCCATCAGTAGAACGGGCCTAGAGAGCACTTTGAATATTTCAAATATTTTAGGATACAGTTAGTTTTGTCTTTGGGGTATGAATAAAACATAGAGTGCTAATGTACTCGTCGACATCTAGATTTGCATAACAATGACACTGACCTATTACGTTTGTCGGAACAAAGGCCATAATGACAGAGAAGACAGGAGCATTGTACCAAGCTTGCTAATTGCGTTCTGATGATTTTTGGTTTTATTTGATTTTCCCAAGCTTTTCATAAACCTGTTGTTTTTATTTTTTATCATAATATACAGAGAAAATTAAACATTTTTCTTTTGTTTTGAAACATGATTACTGATATCTTTTAAGAGAATACAAATAAATGAACTAATGAAATAAGTTTTAGTATACTTAACTTTCAAATAACGCTGAATGGTCTTGTTATTTTTCGAAGTTCCTACCGTAGACTATTTCCACTTTCATAAGTGATATTTCCAAATTCTCGCTATACGAAATGAAATAGTAATAAAATTAACTAATATTATTTTTATTTTTCAAATGTCGAAATCAATAGTGCGTAAAAATGTAACGTATACTTCACATAACACACGTTGTATATGTGTTACTTTGTCTGTTTCATACTTTAAGGTGTCGTCCGAACGAGCTCATATCGTAAGAATCTATTCTTAGAATAGCAATATTGTGCTAGCAAACAATTGAATGCGCTGGTCTTGGATTTCTTCACACTACACACCGATGCAAACATTCAATATTTTTATTTCTTTCCATTACTATTGTAGAAATAAAAAAATACTGTTTTTTTTTTTTTTAAGGCTAAAATCATCAAATGACTTCTCCCGCCCAGGGCCGGGCGGGAGGGAGTGTCAGACTCTTACTGACTAAAAACCCCCTGTTCCTTCTCCTGCTCTGGGCCGAGGTCGCGGTGCCTCATTGCGCTTACCCCGCAACCCCGGCTGAACTTCAGCCCCATAGGGCCCCGTCTGTGGTGGTCTAGTGGCTCTTTGAGGCGCACGCGGAACGCTACGCGCCGTACGCTCGGGCGTGGTTCTGGTCGGGCGGCGAGCTGCCCTAACTCGCCGACCGCAGACACGCGAAAAAAAATACTGTGAAATATTGTTCTGTCCCCGGTTTAGAAAATGTTGTGTTGATCGCATTGTTTTACTTCCAAACATATTAATTCGGATTCGTTGTTCACCTATTATGGTCACCTCGAGTATACTAGTCATACTAAGAAATATGACGACCTTCGTCGCCTTTGCCTGACGCTGGGGCCCACGAGATTAAGTCGGTCGCCAAATCCGCCAACAAACTCAGTTGAAGATCGCGAATAAAACTACAATCATTCTCTCTTCATCTTTTCTTGGTGATATATTAACCGCTGTAATTAAATAGTCTCTGCATCTTTTACTCATAAAGACATGTCAGAGCTTCATAAAAAAGGTAATTAAGGTTGCAGGACACCGCAAGCTGCTTATCTGCAAGACCTATGTAGGCCTTCCTCAATGTATTTATTTTACTCTTCAGTTCTTCGGTTACAGACGTATTGAGGCTGATATATCTAATGTTGATGATTTAAATATCTTAAGATACATGCATAGAAACAAACATACACAACGATTAACAGACCTAGGTGTTTATGAAGCTCCTAAAAATAAACTTACCTATCTAATAAAAATTATTACTATGATATGATTAATTTTTAGTTGTCATTACTTTTGTACCTACTTCTAACTATAGATATTTGAAGATATATAAAGAGATATATGTATACCTAGCGACCCAAAAATAGCCTCACAAATACTCCAGAAAGGGCTAAATAGCATATCCGACTGGCTCAAAAAATGGCGGATAAAAGCAAATGAAACAAAATCAGTCAATGTAACATTCACTTTAAGAAGAGAATCTTGTCCGCCAGTCACATTAAACAACATTGCAGTGCCACAGGCAGATAATGTGCGATACCTCGGATTGCACTTAGACAAAAGGCTCACCTGGCAAAAACATATTTTCACTAAGAGAAAGCAACTTGGAATCCAAACGAGAAAACTTTACTGGCTCATCGGAAGAAAGTCCCAACTATCCCTCGAAAACAAAATACTTCTGTACAAGGCCATACTTAAGCCCGTTCGGACTTATGGAATCCAATTGTGGGGTACTGCATCCCATTCAAACATTGAAATCATACAAAGATTTCAAAATAAAACACTCCGCATGATAACCAATGCTCCCTGGTTCGTACCAAACGAATTATTACACCGTGACCTACGCCTACCCACAGTGAAACAGGAAATTGTACGCCATACCAAAACTTATAAAGAGCGCATCGAACGACATCCAAATACTCTGGCCCGGCCACTAATGGCAGACGACAACAAAGCGCGACGTTTAAAGCGTAAAATACCTCAAGATTTAATCCTATCACAGTAAACATAGTTACTGTCTAAACAACGAGGATGTGACAAAGGTCACATAACGACCGCGCCAGCAATAGCACCAACCAACATGCTGCTGAATGTCCCACAAAGGAGACAGATTGTAGTTATAAAGAATAGATAAAAAAAAAAAAAAAAAAAAAAAATATGTATACCTATATAGTCGGCGATAGTAGAAGTGTACCATGCAATCCTACTACACTCAAACCAGTTCCTTTATTCAGTTGATTCCGTTTTCAGTATCCACAAACCGAATAAACCAATACATCAAAGTCGGCATGATACATCGTAAAGTGAATAATATAAAAAGTGAGGCGCAGACGAATCCGTCGGGCAGCGTTAATGTTTCAACACAATCACTGACGCTTCACTTATTCATGACATGACGAGGTCGGCCAATGATGTAGGATGCATAGGAGGAACCACCTCATATTCAATCGGATCGGAAGAAACAAAACAGGTTAATAAGAGTTTAGTTTCTACATTTTATGTTATATAGAATAGAATACTATAGAATAGTGTTAGACCTTTATTTTTTTTAGTTTAAGAAGCTTTTTTGCTTTTTTTAATAGAATTAGAATGTTTTCTTTTTTTTTAATATAACTGTGTACGATATTCAATAGATTTTTAGACACGTTTATTGTTATGCCGTTCTAAAGCATCTTAAGGTTTTCTTTTGTTAAATTAACATTCACATTTTGAATAGCCATTTTATTTTTAAAAGTACCTTTAAAGCTTTAGTTTTAAATACACACCCAGTCCTAATAAAATAATGGTCTTTTCGCATTTGATATGGTAATTCTATAAAAATAATTGAAAAATCGAGACTATTTCATGTTATTATAACAGGCAGGAATGTCGAAAATAATTTCACTTTCATTATACTAAAATCCAAAATCATTTTACCAAAAAAATAACGCCAAAAGATTCTACATCATTGGTATGTCTAGAAAAATGTACCACTATACTAAGAGCCGCAACAAAACCTCACTGCCCCGTATGCCACTCCAACCCTTTAGCTCCTGAGAAGGGGGATACGGGTCAAATTACACTGGTCTTTCATATAGGCTTTGAGGTCAGTCATGTTATGTGTTCGAGATTTTTTTAGCACGCTTTCTGCCTGAGGGGACATCAAATAGATCGAGTTAGAATGAGAACATTGTTTATTAACATATCTGTGAACATTTTTTGCTGTTTATTGCCGAATTTGAGTATTATTAGATCCTTGTTTATTTTGATTACTTGGTTGTAACCGTGAGAGTAACATCTTTATACTACTCAGAGGACCTGGTGTTCCCCCATAGGTGCGAATGTGACCCCCCATTGGGTGATTAAGTGAGATAGAAATATCATACATCTCTGTTTTTTATTCCAAAAAGCTATGTGCCTTCTATATATTATGAGACTTTGTTTATGTGTAGCAAGGTTTCGGCCTCACAGAGTGGAACAACCATAGCTTTGTGTTCCCGTTACCGGAGGCCCAATCCCTCCCCCGCTCCTATCCCTTCCCAATCCTTAAATATCCACAACCGGAATCCCCAAAAGGCCGGCAACGCACTCCTAACTCCTTTAGGGTTGCGGGTGTCCATGGGTGGCGCTGATTGCTTATCATCAGGTAATCCGTCTGCTCGTTTGCCGACTTATCCCATCAAAAGAATTTAGATAAAGTGACATAACATTCAAATTAAGAACACGTTTCTTTTCAAATCTGTAACACAGACGTACACAGATCAATATCGAATGTTTTTAAGTAGTGGGTACTTACAAAATATTCGGCAGTGTTGATTGATTGATTACTTTGTTATAAAATGTGTAACGTAACGTTTACCCTATTATATATAACTTATGGTGCGAAATGAATAGAATTGTGAAGTACCACACACAAACTAAATTAAGAAACTTTCAATTACATTCGAGCAAATGACCTTACAAATTTTTGTGTAATTCCCTAAAGTTTTAAGCGATACTGCATCATATAAAATAATGTAAAATATAATGAATTAAATATAAAATAAAATGAAATAAATTTACTTTCACAAATCATCATTCAAAAATTCGAATATAGAATAATATATAAAACCTCATAGCAACTGATACAACCTTTATATTTATGACTAGCTTCTTGCACGCGGTTTCACCCGCTACTCTGGTCCATTTGATCTTAGCGTGTAGTTTTATACATTGTATGATTTTTGATAACATTGTAGCTATATCAGTGAAAGAATTTTGGAAATCCAACCAGCGGTTCCAAAGGTTAATTTTATCTCTTTATAATATAGGAGAAGGTAATTGGTTATCGGAGGCCCAATCCTCCCCCTCCCCCAATCCCTAAATCACCAAATCCCTAATCCCCAAAAGGTCGGCGACGCACTCGTAACTCCTCTGTTGCGGGTGTCCATGGGCGGCGCTGAATGCTTACCATCAGGTAATCCGTCTGCTCGTTTACCGACCGTGTCCATGGGCGTCGCTGATTGCTCACAGGTAATAAGCCTGCTCGTCTAATCTGTCTGCTCGTTTGCCGACCTATTACATAAAAAAACATAATCCTTGAAATTTTAAAACAATAGAATATCTGTAACACGTGTTGGATCAGTTATACCTATTACATATTAAATACCGCTGTCTAGACATTATATTGATACCTTGTTACAGGTTGAACAAGCTTGACACGGGTTGTGATTTGATGCAGAAGTAATATTACAGAAGGGCAATTTTGTTTCGTCTGTGAATTTGATTTCTTGGTTCTATTTGGGGGAATGGGAAAATTTCTTTTTGTTTCCCATGCTATTTTTGTGTGATGGGACGGCACTCAGCAGATACAGTATAGACGGAACACTTGATGGTAAGCAATCAGTGCCACCCAATGGACACCTGCATCACAAGATACTGCGGATTTAAATATTTGAGATTTGGGAGGATTAGGCCTATGGTAGGTAAACCTTACGTAACAAAAGGCAAGCGTTTATTTTCGGTTTTCTGTGAGACTGTGGTATCACGCCTCGTGGCATTTGCAAAATAAGGCACTTTGGTCATACAATAATAAAATAAATCATTTTTTTTTTCACAAAATCACCTACTGGATATTTATACTTTATATATATTACATGAAGTCTAGAATTTTTTTGATAATATAAGAGTTATTACACTTCGTAAATGCTTGGCATACACATACATAATATACTCCACTAAGTTATATATTTGTCTATGGAAGTGTATATTGATTGTAAACTGACTAAATTATGTAGACTATCCCACTTCAGATAAACTCAGTGACGGGTTGAATCTCTGTATTTAATGTATACGTGAAACATGTCAGAACATATCAGAATTTAGAACAGTTACCAAGTATCAAGATGAATAGGATATTTAAATTAAATCATGCCTCAAATTGTACGTCCAGAAATTTTTGAAGAAAAATGAATTATTTTTCCAAATTGAATCAACAAATACATTATAATATTTGACTGTAAGTTTGTCGCATCGGCTGAACAACCCGGCTCCCGTTAAATGTATTACGAGTTCGATACCACACGAAATACTTTGTTCTGTGATACACAAATTGTGGTTCCAAGCCTAGGTCTATGTGAAATTGTAAATGTGTTTGTAATCATAACCACGACACAGGTCAAAAGTTTAGTGTAGGGCAACTGTTAAGCAAAAAAAAACTCATAAAATCATATTACCTTGTGTGACACGCGAAAGAAAACTCTGGATACAAACGTTTTTAAACCAATTGAATTATTCCTCGAATGAAAATGAATAATGCCATGGAATTCAATTTAAAAGATACACAAAAAAAATTCTTGGATTAGCCTTGATTTTCTTATAATTATCCGACTCCAAACGCAACTAAGCAAATTATTTTCAAAAATATTCTAACCTAACCTAACCTGACATCTCAAGACATTCCTTGTAAACTCCTGTAAACTTAAATTTCAACGCTGTTGTTTATTTATTCTTATAAGTTGTAGACGTGGCTGGAGTTTTTGCTCGCTTGAGAATGCTCACAAATTCTCGAGATCTCAGCTATGTGGGATGTAATGAGCGCATTTCTAAGGCTTTTCATTTAAGGCTTGCACTTCGCCATTTATTGTTTTACACTGCTCCTTTCAGTGCTTTTGTCAGGTTTCAGAATTTCAGTTTATGCTGCACTGTGTGTGAAGGAAATTTTCTTTCGCTGTAATTCAAATTTGAATATAAGAAATATGCCAAATTTATTATGAGCTTCACTACGAGGACTGACCGACAGACTGACATCTTCAAATTTTGTTTCACGTTCAAAAGTGCCTGTAACGGTCTTTATTTAATTTGCTCTTTGCCCATACAATTGAGTAGGCTTACACCCAGTTTCCGAAAGGCTAATCAATGTTAAAATCAATTTAATCTCTTGTCAAGTCATCTGATTGGTTGACTGAATTATCAACAACCAATCAATGACTTGACAAGAGATTTGACACCTAGTTAGTTGATTTTAGCATTGATCGGGCTTTTGGAAACCGAGAATTAGTAGCCTACTAGTGCTACAGTTCAGATGGCATTATTTAGCAGTTAATTTAATATAGGTCGAAAAACGAGCAGACGGATCACCTAATAGTTAACATTCTGAGTAGTTGCAAGTATGCAAGTACATTGCCGTCCTTGTAGAGATTTGTAAACTGCACATATACAATACATCTTCGCCGTATGTATGAGGTTAACGGAGGCCCAATCCTTTCCCTCCCCCAATCCCTAAATCTCAAAATCCCTAATCCCTAAAAGGTCGGCAACGCACTCGTAACTCCTCAGCTGCCCATGGGCGGCGCTCATTGCTTACCATCAGGTAATCCGTATGCTCGTTTGCCGACCTATTACACAAAAAACATAATATACCAAATATACCATTATGTCGGTCAAGGCATTGTCGAATTTTAGCAACGGTCAGGTGTTTGGCCTCTATAACGCCTGGTGGTAAGTAATGATGCAACCGACGATGAAGTACCATCAACCCATAAGCAACCTATTTACTTGGACCTTGAAGACACCTATGTCTTTCCGTCAGATAAAAAAGAACTCCGTTCTTTCGCTGCTGTGATAATAAAACAGGAGACGAACCGCTTTGTGTGTAAAATAAAAACCTCCTCTTGTATCTGTAACAATTAAACTAGAGAATTAACAAAATACTAAGAATCAAAGCTACATTAAGAACAAATAACAAAATTAAACTCAGAGTTTATAGATATTAAACACATACAAATGTTTGCGTTAACTCCTGCTGAAAGCCCTGAAAATCTTCAGAATCTTCACTGAAATTACAATTAGAATTAATGAAATTAATACAACGCGTGTAAGCACTTACTTAGTCACTCACACATGTAAGTTTTCATTTAAGTTAAATGTTGAATTTGCTTACGATATCTACGTGAGGTGATGAACTCCAGTACAGTTGACAGAGCAAGTAAGAATTGCTGAAATATAAGTAAAATACAATTTGGATAAGTAAAAAAATGTTCAACTTATTTTGCTAAAGGAATTACTCTAGTAATTATAATAGTGTTTGTTCAATTTTTTCATACGACGCCCTTTTTGTGTTAAAAATATTTCGCGAACCGTATTCGTTACTTTTTATTTTTGTAAAAAAATAGGTACGTAATTTGCTTTTTGATGCATCATCCCATCTAAGGTTTAAGATCACATGATTACTTTTATTTTTCGTTTATTTGAAACAATTTTACTTTTACGCTGTATTGATTTTTATAAATACTGAAATTACTTACCTTTGGCAAATCCCCCTTAAAAAGACCCCTCGACCGACATTAATTTTTGTATCTGACAAATGTACACTACAGAGCAGTTAATCATTCAGCCTCTGCGCCAAAGTTATTAGATAACACAAGTAAACAAACACCTGAATACCCTCAAGGTAAAGTCCCCAATGAATCACAAACATCTGTTGATATCTTTTTAATATCCCTGTAAACCTTTTCACCTAACCTTACGTGCGTGTGTTCAAACCATTTATTTGCGGATTTGATGTTAAAACATATTTTCAATTAAACTGGGGATCTAATTAAATCGTGAAAGGAGGCAGTTTTCGACTTGTGTAACTTCGCTTACGTGTGGCAACATATGATAAGACCAGCATAATCAGACCTCCCATCTACCCCTCTTCGTTTACACATCAAGAAACAAAAGGGGTAATTCGATGAAGATTCAAAGGTCACATACACCGGTCTTGTTACGATTCGGTAGGAATACAAACGATCCCACTTAAAAGTTTTATGGATTCCGTATAAATTCCATTATCATTTTATGGTTTTACATTTTAAACAGATGTTTTGTAGAAATATTTCACGATGCAATCTCGGCTCGTATTTACACTGATGGCGTTACTTTGAAACAACTTCTATCATCAGGAGATAAGGACGAAGTTTGAGTGCAATTGAATTACTAGAAATTTGTTAATGAATGTTTTCAAACTGCCTAACTGGTCTAATCCGGCAAAACTACCGAGGGGTTCAACATATTCGGCAAAGCTGAATACACCACGTGTAATGGCATCTAAGTTGCTTCATAGTAGAATTACAATCAAAACATCACGCTTAAAAGTATATATATACCTATATATATTAGCCGTGTTCAACCTACCTAGTGCGGCGCTTAGTGTTACCTTACCTTTTTCCACTCCTTGAAAGAATAGGCCTCTGTGTAATGAATTTAAAGTAGATACTACTTTGAAATTTTCTCGAAAATATTTAATCGATAAAGACAACAATACTCCATCCAACGCTAAAATCAAAAGCAAAGCACTTGATAGTTGACCACCAGGAACACATCACTAACAAAACAAATCAACAAGAAACAATTCTTGCGACAGAACAAAACAAGTTTTCATATAAAATTGATTCAGAAAAGAATTCCCACATTATGTTTACGCAGTGGTCACCGTCATTGTGAAGTGTCAAAGAAGTGGCTCTTATTTTGTAAATAAACAAAGTTGTTGTTATTGAGACAATGTGATTGAAGATCAGTCAATGATCTGTTGCCGGTAGCAATGGACGGAAAGAAATTAACCATACTGTTCCTTGTGTTATCTCCGGTACTTATTGTAAGTTTTTTTTTTTATTCACTTAGTATCTTTAGTGGGTGATTTTGATATGTGTCTGTTGTTGATTGGATTTAAACCTTTTTGCTTCTTCAGAATTAAATGTTGCAATTTATATTATTCGTGTATTAAATTTATATTCGTGATTCGATTTTCTGTTTCGAATTTTTGTCTTGTTTTGAAAAGTAATTGAAGAAATCTTGTAAATTAATCAATGTGTTTTGTCAAGGTACGTTTTAAAACGAAATGTATGTTAGTTTCTTGATTTAATTTATAAAATATCATAAAGCATATGGCGAAAAATTAAATTCAGTTCAGATCAGTAGGTAAAACGGGTTTATAGGTAGGATTTTGAAATAGCGTTGACTTAGGAAAATGTATTTTATTTTTGTTTTTTTTTTTATTGTATAAGTCGACAAACGAGCAGACGGATTACCCGATGGTAAGCAATCAGCGCCGCCCATGGACACTTGCAACACCAAAAGTTACGAGTGCGTTGCCGGCCTTTTGGGGATAGGGGTTGTGGATATAAGGATCGGGAAGGGATAGGTGAAGGGAAGGGATTGGGCCTCCGGTAACCTCACTCACACGGCGAAACACAACACTGTGGGTTGTTTCACGCCGGTATTCCGTGAGGCTGTGGTATCACTCCGGCGACCATTCGTGCTGAAGCTTGGCTCTCCCACACTATGTATAATACATAGCTCGGAAAAACCGGTGAAGCAAATAGCTGTGTACTATTTAATTAAATTAATATGTATGAACCTTAAGTGAAAATCATAAAATACACAACAAAAGTTCAACAACCCTATAATAAAGAAATAAAAATTATCCTGTCAGTATTTTTTCATAACACATTGTTTTAAGTTGAATTTTCTTTACAGTCAGCATGGACCGCTTCACGAGAGGAGAGGAGAGAGAGAATGAATGATCGGGACGCAACTATACATCGGAGAAGCATCCATTACCATTCGAAGAGGCACATGCTGCCTGAGCCAGATGCCAAGAGGAGAGTCACTACACCACGAGCCAGGGAGTTCAGAAAGAAGGTACATTAATTGTAAAATTACATTGGATTTTCATTCTTGTCTTTTTACTTGAGTTAATTCAGAATCTTACGTTGCCCCACAGTAGGATTTTCTCCTGAATCGTGGGTGCATTTACAAACATAAAATTCACATACACATACACAAACCACCCAAATCCGAAACAACAATTTGGAAATCGCACAAAATGTTGTTTGGTACAAGAATCACTCAATCACTACGCCAATCGTGCAGTCAAATCGTACATTTCATCCTTCGTTTAGCAAACCACGAAGTTTTCAAATGTAAATATTATTCCATACACAGATCTTAACTCTTTTAGTATCTTGGCACTTATTTATGTTATTCAAAAATCAACTAGATTAAAGTATATCCTTAGATTGCTTCGTTGCTATAGTATCAATGAACTAGTGTTGTACTATGATTAGAAAATAAAACTTGACGCGCGAGAACGCCACTGATGTGACCTTTTGTGACCTTGACTTCTAATGCGCTCACTGATACTGTACCTGAGTTAGAAATCGCAAGCAAAATTCAAATGAATTTCAAAATGTAATAAGCAGAAAAATATCAAAGTCACTAGTGAGTAGACTCCCATAGTAATCTAAAGGTTAGCTGACATTCACACGGGACATATTAGTCACTATATTATCACTTCACCTTAGTGCGCTTATTCTCCTATCTCTTCATGACGCGCTACCTAGTAAAAAAAGTCACTGTGAAAAAAAAACACAATTGGCGGTGGGCGTAATACATACGTTTAACAAGAAAATTCAATTTTGATTACAGCCATCAGGCCATCTAACTCCCTTAGAAGAGGATGACATTGACAACGATGAAGTGATATCCGTTGCAATTGGCCCTCCTCCAATCCGACCAAAATACGACAAAGTCCACTGGAAACACCCTCCCAAGCCAGTAACACCAAACGTATCGAACACCACAGCTTCCAACATAGTTAAAGACGTAATTGTCCAATTAGGACGAGAATTCCTATCTAGGCAAGTAAGCGAAGATTTCGTATTCGGACAGTACGTTGGCAATGCAATGAAAAACTTATCAGGAGAAATCAAATTGCGTATGCAACATGAAGTACTGGAACTCATAGTGAAATACCAGAAGATGAATCGAGGTGAACCTCCTAAACCAGATGAGAAGAATACCAGTACCAACATCAATAACAATAATAACAACAACGCTTTGCCGATACTCAAGGATATGAAAATAGAAAAAAAGTTTACGCCTGCTAACGACACTGAGGACACGTGGCCTGACTTCTCGAACTTAGCTAAGATTGTTGGTTAAATAGTTTAATTAATTGTAGAAAATATAAAATGTATTTTATTTATTATTCTTGTTTTATTTGTTCTATTTAAAACATACAAAACAGCTCATTACTCCGGCATACTACCAAATCCCTTGAAAAATAGACATAAGTACAACAAATATACCACTGTCCACACAATGTTATTATAATACAATCAAACGAATAAAATATATTCAATAAAGAATAACTAAAATACTATACAAACACATATTGAATTCAATTTCTACGTAACCATCATAAAATATACAAAAAGCCTATCACCACACTGACAAAGATATTTTTATTTACAAATATTACTGAAAAAGGGTAATATTTGCCTTCCATAATTTTTCACCTACTTACAAATAAGAATAATTATACAATAACAGAAAACAAAGGAGATATCCATGATATTTCCCTGAAAATGAAATTATTGAGAAACCCAATAACACTTTTTTCCACCCGGAAATCTACATCCGAGTCCTCTGTTCCATTGTTCCCATTGTTCTCAATTATTATGAATTTTATTTCTCAGAATACTTCAATCAATAACTTTGTTTTCATTAAAGCTTTGTTCTGATAGATAATAATTATAATCCGGTCGTGACAAAGGACCAAGTTGAAAATGTTGTGTACTCGCCAACTGCCATCTGACCGCAATGTTTGACTTTGGTCCTTAGGGACGGAGGATTAATCCGAGATTAAAGAAACAACGGAGATATGCTTGGAAACACTTGGCTCCAAAGGGTCTGAAATTGGACGGGCAGTAGTGTGTAGTGGATATAGATGTTTTAGATATACACTACCTTGTTAGTCCTGTGGTCGAGTGTAGTATTGATCACTTGGTCTTTTGGTACAAAAGCACTAGCCTACATATTTAACTATTTCCAAATTAAGACATCACACATGCATATAATGTCAAGCATAGTAAATGCAATAATTTCAAGGACAAGTAGAATAATATACTACTCTGTCAAGAAAGTACCGGGAAAAAGTCAATAATACACAAAATGTTTGTTATTCATCTAAATTTATTTTATCACCTTCAAAGTATGCTCCTTCAGAAACGATACACCTACGCCAACGAATAATCCAATCATCGAAACTTTTTTTAAACGCTGTTTCTGGAATTGAGTTCAGTGCTCGCCGCGAATTCTCCTTTATGTCTTCTAACGATTGAAAACGGGTGCCACGAAGGGGTAATTTGAGTGTGGGAAAAAGAAAGAAGTCAAAATCCAAGAATTTTCTTTCCACATTTCTGGCCTTTTTCGTCGAATTTGTTCTCTTAAACGCCGCATAACGCTCAAATCTTTATTTACCGTTTGACCTTCGGGCAAGAATTCTGAGTGCACAACACCGCGATAGTCAAAGAAAACAGTCAACATGACTTTGACTTTTGATCGACTTTGACGTGGTTTTTTCGGTTTTGGTTCAGTTGGAAGGCGCCATTCCGAAGCTTGTTGACTAGTTTGCATGTCAAACTCGTAAACCCACGTCTCGTCACTAGTAACAATGTGTTTCATGAATGTTGGGTCGGTATTGACTCGTTCTAGCATGTCCTCAGCGACTTTCATGCGATTTAGTTTTTGAAGAAAATTCAGGTCTTTTGGGACTAGCCGAGTGGCAACACGTTTCATACCCAAATTATTTGTTAAAATGGTACGGATCGACTCGTGAGATACAGAATCTCATCTCTCTCAAACTTGAATGAGGATTTTCAGTCACTATTTCTTTCACTTTTGAGATGTTAACTTCAGTTGCAGACGTTGATGGCCTACCAGAACGAGGCAAATCTTCCATCACATCTCGAACTCCGCTTTTGAACGCTTTGTACCACTCATAAGCACGTGTTTTTGATAAAGTCGATTCACCGTAAGCCTTCTGTAATATTTTGAGTGCCTCCAAACACGAAATTTCATTGGCGATGCAAAATTTAAGACAAACTCTTTGTTCGATGTTTTTGTCCATTATGAAATTCGCAATACACACTAGATATTATAAAACTAAAAACAGCACTGTTTTTAATATAAATAACAGATGCAACTCAAATTCCGCGCCAAAATGGAAAACAGTTATGCCAATCTAACAACAACAAAAAAAATTAAAATTCGAATTTGGAACCATAAAAAAAACATTCATTCCCGATACTTTGTTGACTGAATGTATATGAGGCATGCACTGTATTTATGCTTGACATTTTAGAAAGTATGTTTGCAGCATACCCAATTTGTTCGACTTAAACTAAAACTTTTCCCACAAAAATACACATAACGAAGTGAACAAAATGTAACCTAGCAACGACAAATCCACAACCCTATTACTACCGGCTTAATTTCTAATTTCCAATGATTTCCTTCATACTTTTTCCACAAATCTTTAGCTTCACCTTTATATATGAAGGAAAATATGTATATACCTAACTAGTGTAATCGTATTAGTGTAATAGGATTATGGCGACCGACTAGTGAACGAAATGTTCTATAGTCAGCCATTTTGATTCTACACACTTTTGTTTTAGCTCGCTTTGTTTTGGGATTTTGTTAAAATCAGCTTGCGGTCCATGTTTTAAGAGGACGGTTTTAAGTATTAAATTCTAAAATGTGGTTGCTTAATTAAGTATCGTTTGCTTGGCGTGAAGGATGAACGGGAAAAATTAAGCCTTTAAAATCAAACAGCCATTTTCACCAGATTGAGTCCCATTAGATTTCAAACGCTTTACTATGTATTTACTGAGAATTTAAAAACCCCAATAATATTAATAATACAAACTTTTAAATTTTCGCGTTTCATATTTACAACATATAGGTATAATAACGCGGGTATTAATACGAAAAATAATTATTTAAATACCTTGGTCTTTTTTGCTTGCGACCAGGACTCGTGCAACCAAGTCCAAACGTCAAGCCTACCAAGGTATTTAAATAATTATTTTTCGCGTTAATACCCACGTCATATGTTGTAAATATCAATATTACTTTAAGTGTGGGAGAGCCATGAAGCATGCCAGAGAATGGGTCGGCTCGAACGGAGTGATACCACGGCCTCACAGAAAACCGGCGTGAAACAACCACAGCGTTGTGTTTCGCCGTGTGAGTGAGGTTACCGGAGGCCCAATCCTTCCCCACCCCCAATCCCTTCTCAATCCCTAAATATCCAAATCCCTTATCCCTAAAAGGTCGGCAACGCACTCGTAACTCCTCCGTTGCAGGTGTCCATGGGCGGCACTGATTACTTACCATCAGGTAATCCGCCTGTTCGTTTGCCGATCTATTACAAAAAAAAATCCGATCCAAGAACACTCGATTTACGAGGCAGTCAATCAAACTAGATAGTCCAAATTAATTCAGATAAAGTGCTTACAATGACTTACCACCATTACATAATAAAAGATAAACATTCGAACCAGTTTTATCCCTGGAGTATATTTTCTTTGTATTTTTTATGGACAGGATACTGACCTCTACTACCCTTCACAATCCCCTATGGGCACATAGCCAAAAGGGTGTTCAACTGCCCGTGGGACGGAAAAGAAAATCAAGCGAGAGAATTTTGATACAATATTTTATTATCTCGGTTGCTTGAGAGATCAGAATACTATTTACGATAAGTACTACATATTTTTTTGTATTATATTATTTAACTAGGTATTCTAGCGCGGTTTCACCCGCTGCTTGGCTCCTACAGATCGTAGCGTAATATTTTATAGCCTTCCTCCATAAATGGTCTAAGAAACATAAATAGAATTGTTAAATTCCAGATGGTGGTTCCGGAGATTAGCGCATTCAAACAAACAAACAAACAAACTTTACAGCTTTATTATATTAAGTATAGATAATGATTTCGAAAACAGTACATTTTACTTTGATAGTTTCTTTTATACATTTCCATCTCAAGGTTGTCTGGAAGAAATCACCTTGTGTGATAGTCTTATCACACAAGGTATATATATCGCCTATTGTAATCACAACATTCGGCCATAGTATCCAATGTATTGCTACTTGGTGTATGTGTGCAATAAAGTATATAGAAATAAATATAGAAATAAATTTTCGATAAAATTTATCTATTTTATAAATAAAGTTTAAAATCCTTATTTTTATCTTTTATTAAAACGTTGCCCTAAACTAGGATTTTCTCCTGTGTTTTTTTTGCGTTTACGAACATAAAAATTCACATACACAAGCCAACAATGTTGTGATCACTCACATTGTGTTTCCGTGCGGGAGTCGAACCCACGACACGTTGCATAGCTGCAGCTAATTGTCCAACCAACCGCGCAGTCGTAATTTATCAATTAAGAGTTAAGTTAAAAAGTCAATAAAGTTTTAAAACCATAATATATAATAGATAAATACTGTTAATCACTTCAAAAATCGGTTCAGAAGCTACCATGATTTTTTACTTGAACAATGATATGAAAACCCGAGAGCACTAAAGGCTCTTAACACTGTCACGAGTTGTCGGAAAAGTGTCTAAAAATCCACAACTGTATTCTGCTTAAAGAAAAAGCTAACTTTCAGCTCACGGACTCTTGATCTTAAGAAATTGGCACCACTATTGGAATGAATGGTAACAATCCAACCTGTCTTGAATACAGCGGTTGACACAATCAGTCTTTTCCTTTTTGTGTAGAGCAGCTGGCTTTTACCTGCGACTTTACCTACTCAGCCTCTACTGGCGGCTCTGTGATGAAAAGCATCATTCCAGATCAACATTGGCATCTGTAAAATTAAAAAAAAAATTCCATTCCGTAGTTTTTACGTGAAAGACTATAACCCATCCAAACTGACTAAGTTTCCTGTTTAATATATTAGTAATAATAAGCTTATGTTCTTCTGCCTTCTTTGTATTTCCAGATGATTGATTTTTGAGTAAATAAAGTGTGGGACAAATAGGTCAGCTCGACGGACTCACATATAATCGCTATGAAAAAATTACAGCGTTGTATTCCTTCCTGATCCCTAAATCTCCAAAATCTAAATTGTCAAAAGACCAGCAG